TTATCTAGGATTTCCTCTTTGGTAAGTGTCGTGAGGGTATATGTTGAGTGTCCAAGTGAATTGTCAATACCTAATTCATTTATCAAGCAGTTTATGTAATGATATTTACACACAAAAACGATGTTGTTTGGGGCTTTATCTGCGGGGACAACAACATATTTGTCATGGAGGTAGGACAAGTGTTTTGCAACATTTGGGTCTTTAAAAATTGATGTAGCGTGGGTATTGATATGCCCATTTAGTTTCTTAATTCGGATTTGTATCTACGACCTCACAGCCTTAATCCATTCGGAAAGAGTATCTACGTCTTCTTTCTCGCGTTTAGCCCATTGCCTGGCGTAATCCTCGACTGAATCCATCAGTATTTTGAAGTTGTATTTCCAATTGATGGATTTAGGCTCACGATATTTCGGACCTTTGGATAACAAATTTCGCAGGGAAGTGTTATCGACAATGTTGAGGTCTCCGGTAATAACGTGGCCAGCCGGATTATATGTGAATTGGGAACTAGCACAGGTGCAATCAGGAGGTTTAGACTTGAAGTCGTCAATGTTGAGATCCTGCAAAACGTGTTTGTAATTGAAAATTTTAGTTGCAATTGGATTGGTATAGGTATAAGAAATTATTGGTACAGACTGATCTTTAAAATAAGGAGGTATTTTCGACCGAACTAATTTATGATGAAGGATATTGCCTAAGTTGACGCCATCGAGACCTTTGTTGGCAAAGGAAAGTTTAAGAAAAGATCTTTTCTCTTTTTCATCTTTTCCAATGCGAACTGGTTTGAAAAGTCTGTGACTTGCAATATCCGAAATAATAGCTGTAAGTTTGTATTGGTTTGAATGAGGGTTTGTAACCGTGGTTTCCAAACATAAATTGAACAGAGAATGAAGTTTTGAAAGGGGTAATGAATACAGTTTCGTGCGAATGTGATGAATACCTAACGGCTTTTGTATAAATGGCAGCAAGTCATTAAAAGAGACATCATGCAAAGTAGGTGATGTATAATGACGATGACCATGACTGCGTCTACGTCGAGGAGTAGAGTTGAAAATATTCATCACATTCACCGAGCTACAGGAAGGACTAGATAGAATACCTATACCATCAATTTTGTCATTGCAACCATATGGTGTCGCAGTTCCCAATTGTCGAATCCAGTAGTTCTCTTTTTGTCTACGGAGAGGCGTTGCAAGTTGAGGATTGTTAGTCTTGTGGTATATTTTTTCGATTATACGAACTTGTAAAAGAATTGGGAATAAACGAGCACTCAGGTAATCCCACATACAAAAACATATCATTTGACAAGGATGAGATTTTGGCGAATCATAAGTCCTTCATGGCTTCAATGAACATTGCATTGAACAACAAATCGGAGGACTTACCTTGTTTGTATTGGATACCCAAACTTCACTAAATTCCGTACAAACAACGGTACATTGCCGGCTCATCTGCATGTTCCACTAAAGAATTGTCTATTAGATTGACTAAAATTCTGTCCGCAGTGAAAGAGGGTCTTCAGAAATACTGTGAAACTGTGTACTCGCGTAGTGGTATTAACCAAATGGGGATTTTAAACACTCTAAAGAACTTCTGGATAATTTTAAATCTCGGTCTTTTTCTGAAATTAGTTCTATCAAAACATTTGATTTTTCAACCTTGTATACCACCATTCCCCATGTAAAATTGAAAAACCATCTAAAACAAATAATCCACAATGCTTTTCAACATAAAAATGGTAGCATACGCTATAAATTTATTACTTTAGGGTACCATAAGGCAATTTTTGTTAATAATGAACAAAAGGGTAAAACATGCTACACAGAGGAACAAGTGATCAGATTGCTGGAGTTTCTTATTGACAACATATTTGTTGAATTTGGAGGCAGACTTTTTCAACAAATTGTCGGCATTCCTATGGGAACGAACTGTGCGCCACTCCTTGCCGACCTCTTCTTATTTTCATATGAATCGGAGTTCTTTCAGACACTTGTCAAAAACAAGAAGATCAAAGAAGCAAGGTTAATTAATTTCACTTTCAGATATATTGATGATGTTCTTTCCATTAACAATCCGAACTTTTCTGATTGGGTTTAAATTAATATATCCACCAGAACTAGAAATTAAAGAAACAACAGACACGGCTTCCTCCGCCTCATTTTTAGACTTATACCTCGAATTTGACATACACAGTCATCTCAGTACCAGAATCTATGACAAACGAGACGATTTTAATTTTGAAATTATCAATTTCCCCCACCTTAGTAACAATATAACAACTTCACCTGCATATGAGATATACATTTCCCAACTTATTCGGTATTCAAGAGCTTGCAGCTCTTACTCGAACTTTGTTAAACGTCACCAGTGTCTGACCAGAAAGTTGATGAACCAGGGGTATGTCAAAGAACGTCTCGTCCTTTTTCTAAAAAAGTTCATCGGAAGGTACCAAGACCTTGTTGATAAATATTCCGTATCAACTTCACAAATAATACACAATGGTCTTGAAGTATAGATTCTGCGTATTGACGTTGTTTATCATCTTAAGAACGTGTTATAGTATTCTTTTACTTGTCTTTATTAATATTACTTTTACTGTTTAGTCTGTTTTTTGAGATATCCATTTGACGTGACTCTGTACTTATGTATCCCATCATACTTTGAACGACAAAATTATTTTATATTTTAATATTACTTTTACTGTTAAGTCTGTTTTTTGTGATATACATTTGACGTGACTCTGTACTTGTGTATCCCGTCATACTTTGAACCACAATATTATTTTATTTATTAATATTACTTTTACTGTTAAGTCTGTTTTTTGTGATATCCATTTTACGTGACTCTATACTTATGCATACCGTCATACTTTGAATGACAAAAATATTTTATGTCTACCTGTGCGAATTTCAAACGTGCGATTTTACGCCAGTACTTTAAACCTTCCATCCTTTATGGGTGGATTTTACGTAGATAAATATAATCGTATAATAACAAAGCAAAACGAGGATGTTAATTTGATGTATGCCTTTTTTGTGCTTCTTCGTTACATTTGTTTGTTTTTATAGTGATTAAGATGATAACACAATGTTGACTGCTGTACCCCTATTTTTGGCATTTTTACCTATTGTGTCTGTTTGTTTTGTTCACGCATCGTTGTCAATATAATGGAATTTGATGCGACTGTCATACAAGTGAGAGGTTTAGCTAGCTATAAAACCAGGTTCAATCCACCATTTTCTACATAAGAAAATGTCTGTACCAATTCAGGAATATGACAGTTGTTATCCATTTGGGGAATTTATTTTCTAAAGTTCAATCTTTGATAGGTTCTAAAAAAAATTGTCATTGACCCGCATTTTAACTTTAGAAACAAATAATGTGAAGTTTTGTTAATTTATCGCTACAATACAGGGACATAATCATATATGGGAGATGAATTTTAATGTAAAACTTTCCATAACACTTTTAAAAAAGCCAGATTTAACACATTCGTGTGTAAGATTATGAAAATCTTATTGATTCACACTGAATAGAAAATCATACTGTGACCTACATGTATTGATATTCGTTTTCGTGTTACATGTACATGTATCACTATTTCGTGCTCTCTTCGTGTCAGTTCTTAACTTTTTAACATTTATGTATACCTTTTACTCTGTCAAATGATCAACTAATAAAATACATGTGTATTCTTATATTTTATTGATTAACATCCGCGTACCTATCAATGGGGTCGAGTTGGCCGGGAAGGGTGGGGGGGGGGGGGGGGGGGGGTATATAATTAAATCCTGATTATCTGTTAAAAAATGTATTGCCATTCAAAAGAAAATTATTCTGAATATTTCATTCGATTCGATTAAATTGTTGAAAAAATAATCACTTTTCCGCGATAAAAATGTCATAACAAATAAAACAGCATCCCCTTCCATTAACTAAGTTGGTACAAGTAATAACTTACAAAGTGACTTGTATTTTTCATACACCGTTATCGGGTAGTAACAATTCATTTGTACCTTGCTTCATGCAGTTACAGCAATTTTTTCATTGTGTCTGGATAATGATTTCTAAAGTTTATATCTAGATTAATTAGTGAGTTTTATTTCGCATTCTCAATGAGCCGTAGGGCGTATTAAAACCTGAACGCATTAGAAAGGAATATCCCACTTTAGTATGGTCGGTAAAATAGGATGCTTTTTCTGCAAATCTTTGCAGAAAATAATATTTTTTTTACGGTATATAAGTCAGATAATGCATATTTTAAGGTTTTTCTTGTCGCAGAACACACCTAGGGGTGTCAGGATTGCCCAAAGAAAGACCTCCCTACGGTCGGTCTTTCATTTGATCAATCCTGACACCCTTCGGTGTGTTTTACGACAAGAAAAACCTTAAAATATGCATTATCTACAACTGGGAGGCTGGCATCATCATATCTGTCGTAAAGTTTTGTACTCAAAATATCGTCATTGTCTATTTCGATTTACATATTTCAGTGGCTACACAGTACATGTAAACATTATACGATCTCTATTTACAGGGATAGGCTCTAAGCGCTAAAAAACAAATACTGTTTACACATGGTTATAATGACAATACCTGTTATTTTCAACATCGTAATAAAACGTCAATATTCATCCCAAATCACATCAAATAACAATTCTAAAAGCATCAAATGTATTTGTGGGATAGAATAAATGTAATTTTATGATGATTTGTAATCCATCGTAGTATTTTATTGGCATGTATCAAATTAAAAATTAAATAATTTACTCTTAATATGCATATTAAAATCTGTGTCAGAGTGACAGTTTAAAGCTAACTGAAATGAATATGATTTGATGAAGCAATAATTGACATGACATTTTCAGATGCATTCTGAGTCAAATGCCAAAGGAAGACTTAACATGTGAATAATGATAGTAATGACGACAATACAAGAGATATAATCAAGTCTAGAAAATATATACAAATATATACTACATTGTAGATGTTATAAATTACGTGCAAATTTTGTTATCATAACAGATATTAATGTTAATTCTCTTTCAGATATATAGCAAATACACTAATTCGATATTCGGAAGATAAATTGCTCTCGGTAAGTTTGATTTCTCTTAGTTAATAATGAAAGCACTTCAGTTATATAGTATATAGACAATAATAGTGTATTGACTTGACATATCAACGATATATGGATAAGGCTTAGAAACGGGGAAATGCGAGGATCTGCCGAGCTTTTTCCCCGTTTTGGGCTGAATCCTTATATCGTTCATATGTCAGGTCAATAAAATATTATTGTCTTTATACTGCAATCTAGAAAAAAAAAAACATTTTTAATTGTTGTTTATTGTGTTATTGTTTTTATTTGATTTAAATATTGGGAAAAATCCCCCTTTTAAGGCCTCATATCTGGCGGAAAAATAAACAACACAATTAAATGAATATTACCTGTTGAAACAAATCGATGGTGAACGATTTTTTTTGAGTATGGACTAAACTATCAACAATAATGATTATTAGGTTTTAAACAAATATATTAACAAGGGAAATAAGTTTTTTTCAACAATTGCAAAAGAAATAATTTGAGTCGTTCCACGCTTCGTTGTACACATTGGAAACAAGGACAGGTTGAAGAGGTCATCATGGATAATTAAATATAGTTCCGGCTCCACTATTTAAATATTCATGAGGAAAAGTGATATCTGGTCAGTGACTGTATATGACATAGAAATATATAGTCAACGCATCTTGACTGCTCAAATAGAAAGAGTGCAGTATAAAGCTATTTTACTCCGATTACCGACTGGACTAAGAAGTACAGTGGTATTATTTTAGCAGGTATCTCTATATGAATTGGATTTTGAATAAAACAGCATATTCACCTGGTGAAATGGGATATTCACCGCGCTTAACGTCATACGCTTTTACATGTAACGTTACAGTGTATAATAAAATGATTGATGAACAATTTGTTTTGGTAATTATTTGTCATTAGGAATACTTTGTTTTCTCTCAGAATATTAAATAAAAATCTAATTGTTTGTTGAATACTTGAGACTGGAGACCATATGACAACTCCATAGTAAATGTCGTACCGCTGGTTGATAACTTATGATATTATAAATTTGTGTGGACTTCCCCATTTTTAATTTACCTTAGAGTTTGGCGGTGCTGTTATTCGTTTTTTCTAATGATAATTCTATACTAGGATCAGCAAAGCTTTATGTTTCTTGTGTATTTGTATAAGAAGATTATATTTTGCCAGTTTATACAAATCACTTTTGATTTGGTATTCCTTAGCCACAAAAATATATTTTTTGTATTATTTATCACTCTAAACATGTCAGCTGAACCTTTCCTAGATTCAAAGGAAATATTTATATTGAAAGAAAAATGTGCTTTTGAACTTTTCTCGTTCACATGAATATTTGAATTTTAACCACCCTTTCTACGAGTTTATTATATATAATAATGTAAAAGATTAGGTCTTAATTGATATAATTGTTGGACGTTTTGTTATGGCATACTATTGGCTTAACTATAAATTAAGTCATACACGTCCCAAATTTTTATATAATTTTTTTTCCATAATACACATTTGGACCGCCAATTCAAATATTGTGTCTCTCCCATAACGTATAAGATAGAACGTGATCCGTACATGTATTTTTGTGTTTTAATTAAATTTTTCAAGCATAAAAAATCTACTTACAAAAAGATTTTTTTTTACCTGTTCATGTGCCATATAAAGACAACAGTAGTACGTAGCTCAGTGTTAGAAATCAAATAACAGAAATACCGAATTCAAATAAAGATTTAAAACGGATAGTCCCTTTTTAAATGGCAAAAATCATAGTTCAAATACACCAAACAAGAACACCTGTAGTCGAATGTATTGGCTCTTCAACAGAACTTTGTCTCATCCATTTTTAATTTGAATTAAATAGTCTCTCTTAATTCTTTGTATGACACAAAGATTTAGTTAGGGAGTTTGGCTGTAGAAAACCTATTACAAACAGGATAACACATTCTTATTTTTACCATGAAGTTGTTGACCGAGGCGGTAAATTTAGATAGTAGCTGGATTAACCTTTCGATCATTTTCATAATTTTTTCTATAAAATTAAAAATGGAAATTTGGAATGTGTCATAGAGAGATCAACCTGACCAAAGGGCAGAAAACAAAAATGTGTCTTCTATATGGTTACCAATTCATTACGTAATTACATCTTTGAATATTGTTTTTATCAATAAATTAAAACCAAACTAAATATTATTGTTATACATATGTGTATATTCACGGTCCTACAATCTGTCGATAGCTTATTTTTTTGAATTCAACAAAACCATGTTTCGACTGTAAATGTCGTTTTCACCCAAAAGATGTTTTTGCTAGCTGTTATTGGCTTTGAACTAGCATTCAATAACTGCAAGTACTTTGAGATCTGTACTTTGTTTTTTGTGTTTTTGCGTTTTTGTTAGAGCTTTTTTATGCTTTGTATAGATACGATGTTTATAGTTTGTTTGTATGTTGTGCTATCACACAACTGTCCAAGCATAGAGGAGCATTTGGCGCCATCAAAGATGTATTCATACCCCCCCACCCAAAAAAGATTCTGTCTGTTCCTGTCCCAAGTCATGAGCCTGTAATTCAATGATTGTCACCTGTGGCTGTAAATAACATTTGTTCTTTTTTGTTTTATGTTTTGTTCTTAAATCAGGCCTTTAGTTTTTTTTCATTTAATTGGTTTTCATTTGTCACTTCATTTCGTGGCCTTTTATAGTTTACTATGCGATAACGGTTTTGACCAATCTTGCAAGTCGTACGCAGAAAATGTTTAACAAAAATTCCGACGCCAAGAAAAATTACAAAAAGTGCGAAGTCCATAAAAACTTAACTAAAGTTGTTAACTTCTACGTCATTTTGGTCTCTTGTGGAGAATGGCAATCATATCGCATCTTTTATTTTTATATTTTTATCAATGAAAGTTGCATTCCCCGTATACAACCTTTTCAATTTAACATTTTTACACCACCCATATTATAATCTTGATATAAAACATGTAAAAGGTCTGTTCACTCAGATAAATGCATATGATGTATTTGTTAAATTATATAGCATATTCTGGTCTTGACTAGGGATAAGAAAAAAATAATATTTAATTTAGATATGTCCAAAGTCCTAAAATTGGTAAATTTCCAAAGGTAGTGTGCACTCCTAAACATTCTTAATTAATTCGGTTCTTGTTCAGTCGATATATTTATCATCGTAGCAACCACATACAAAGGCTACAATTGTTTATTATTATCTGTTCCGCTCCATATAATATATATTTAATTTTCAATGAAATGATTTGAACACGTTGAAATTTAAATTAACCTCGAATGTTTTATCTTTTTTTTTTTTTTTTTTTTTATCTAATTCACATTTCGGCTATTTCATATATTTATCTGATGTATTGATGATAATGAAGGTACGCATATGAATAATTAAATGTGTATTAAAATGTTTTCAATAGGTTCGATAAAATATTTCCGTTTATCTGACAGAGCCATATTGATTTTAATTTTGGTCTTTAAAACACATTCGTTTTTAGTCATGCAAAATTTATGGCAAAATATTTCAAACATTTGGCTTAAACATGTCAGAGCAAATAATTATTAATTATTATGCATTATGTTTATTGCCCTAAAAATCAGTGAATTAAAACGATTTTAACACATATGAATACTAAAACGTATGTTTAAATGTTGCGTGTTTAAAGTCTGATTTAAATGTTTGACTTCATGTCAATAGAAAAGTATATTATATTGTAAAATCGAATTTTAAGACGTAAAGATGATAAATTCCTACAAGGGGACATATTTCTGCAAATGCCAAGGAAACGTTTGATCTGGACAAAATGTAAGGGAGTTCGCTTCTCAGTTTCAAAATAAATATCTAGGTCAATGTGCTTGTTTTCGAGATATTAGCCATTGAAATGTTGGCGGGAAAATGTTCTCTCTTGACTTTTCATAGCTTTATCATAGATAAGTTTAAGTTCTTAAAAACTATTAAAAAATAAATAAAATTTAATTTGACTTTTACAGATGGCTTATCATAAGACATGTAAAAGATTAATGAAAAGAAAAATAGGGGTCAATAGGCACTGTTTTTAAAGGCATACAAATGGATAAAACTAGAGGATTCCGAAAATCTGACAAAAATTCTAAAACATGACAAGCGAACATCCCTTAGAATGAATGAATGTAATATGAGGTAAACGTCTTAACAACCTACAACCAAATGACAAAATTATCAAAACTAGAGCAACACACAATCTTTATTTTATCAAATATAATGGATTATTTTACAAAGTATAATAGTGCTTTAAACTCGACAGAGTACATGCTGCATTTAAACTTTATTATTAAATTGGTCGATGTTTAACATCATCTTCATCCTTTCAAGTAAAATTTATTGTTGCAATAGTGAAAATAAGGAGTATGATGTTTCAGACAGGACATTGGATCGGGTTTTTTTGGGGGGACAAACTTCAAAAGAAAGTATAACGTATGTACCTCTAGGGATTTAAAATATATATTCTTATGGAATTCTGAACTTTGTGTTTGTTTGCAGACAGGATGGATGCGAATATAAATTCTACAGTAATGAATGTTACTAACTTTTCGGCAAACGACAATAAAGACATATTGTTGGCAGTGAGTATAATTTCTTATCATCAGTGTGCTACACAAAAAAAAAACAGTCCTCGAAAAAAGATGTAAGAGTACAAGTATATATCAATTCAATATATACTGTAATACAAACACAGCCATAAATTGGTTTGAAAAACTAGTGATTTTAAAAACATTTTAAAATGGTAATCTGATACAGCCATTTTGATTTAATCTGGCGCGTTGGATGTTATAAACATTTGTAAACTCGTTACTGTTTTACTGCTTGCTCCTCTGTCTCAAAATAACAAGCTTTTTAAAAGACCATTATAAATTGATAGTTTATAGATAAATAACGGTACTTGAAAAGCAGAAAACAATTATAGCTCCGTATCCTTGTTTTTAAGATATAGTCATATGAAAATTTGGAGGGAAATGATTCTCTCTAGACTTTTCATACATTTTATCATTGCCTCCTATTCTCTCTCAAAAACTATGAAAAAATGACAAGGATTTTATAAGATTTTCAAAAATGGCCTTTAAAAACTATATGTTATAAAATTATAAAAAGAAAAGTAATGGTTAGCAGTCAAATTTTTTATTAGCACTAAATGGATTAAACTAGAGGATTCCGAATATCTGACAAAAAGTCAAAAACAAGAGTAGCGAAAAACCTTAATGATATGTTTATGTTATATGATTTCCTGGCTGTAAATTGAGACCTTTTCAGGCATCGCGATGTAACACATAATAAATAATGTTTGCTGTCAATACACCTGATGATAAATTTATTTTTTTGCAGTATATAAACCATGTGTAAAGTCAATAAACCTCGCATGTAGTCAATCAAAGCCGTTCGCAGCTTATCCACACCTTTTGTGGTTAAAACAATCCGTTAACAGTCAATATATCTTGTTTGCAGTAAATAAATCCCGTCTACAGTCAACATGTTACGTGTGCAGTCAATACATTTCGTGTGCACCAGTTTGCAGTCAATAAACTCCGTTTGAGTCATTACACCTCATTTACAGTCACTACAACCGTTTGCGGACAATCCACGCAGATTGCAGTTAAAAAAAACCAATTAAAGTAATTACAGATCGTTTGCATCCTATGCACCGCTTCTGTAGTCAATGCAATCCGTTTGCAGTCAATAAACCCTTTTCTGCAGTTTAAGCATTCCGTGTGTAGTCAATAAATCCTATTTGTGGTTAATGCGCCGCATTTTCAGTCAATAAACCCGGTTTGCAACCAATACGACTAGACTTTTGTCAGTACATCAGGTTTGCAATGAATAAAACCATTTGCAGTCAATATACCCCGTTTGCAGTTTATGCACCCTGCTGCGGTCAATGCAGCCCGTGTCCAGTAAATATATCACTTTTGCGGTCACAACACCCTATTGTCAGTCAATACTACGGTAACCGATTGTAGTAAAAAAAATGCTTCAAACCAAAACGATTCATGCACTTTTAGACAATGTTGGTTTCTTTATTCCTTGCATAGGCAAATAAATGGCACAGATGTTTCTGGGGGGAAATATTGACAAAAAAAATGTATGAATAGATAATGTGATAACCTGACATTATTGATTTTACACCAAATAGCTAAATACTAAACAACAGAACTTACTAAATCATTGTTTATTAATTAGCTCAGATTTAAGTGACCGTTTATGTTAAATGATATATGTATGTCTGGCTGGGATTTACAAAATAAAGAATATTCGGCAAAAGTTGCAAAACATGGACAAAAATATAAAAAAAACAAAACAAAAAAATAGTGCAATAAAAATAAAGAATGAAGATGTTTAGTGGAAATGACAAGAAAAGTGGTTTTCAGTTCTTTTTTTTTTTAGATTTGTATATCTGGATGGATATGTGTAGCAGAAGGAATTTTGACAGTCCTTTTCAATGGTCTAGTAATCGTTTTGTTAGTGAGAAGGAATATTAGGTCAAATATGTCTTTTCTTTTGATAAACTTAGCTATTGCAGGTAAGAGTTAATAAATATTTATCTATTAACAATTATTATACTTCATGTCAAAATGCCAGATTTTGATTTGTTAATACATGGGATAGCGTAAATCATCTCCCTCTGATGATTTACGCTATCCCATACCATGGCAAATACTATATTACCCTTCACGGAGACGCTTGATCAATAGTGCGCTTTATAATATACGAATACGAATGGATTACCTTTTTCAGCTGTGATTGGCAAAACCTTTCAGAATTAAAGGTCTTCAGTGCTCTTTGACTTTGTACTTGATTTGGTCGCTTAAATTGTTTAATTTGTGCGTCACCGATGAGTCTATTGTCGTTTATAATTGTGTGACTTTTTGATGATTATTTAAGTAATCGGCATTGTCAAAATTGTCAATTCAACCATTATAGTTATTGACCTTATAAACATGATATATACATATACGCACTGTTATCGGGTTTATTTGTAAAATTGTATACCAATATTGTCAGCAAAGTACGATCTACAGGGCCAACGTTGAACTTTTATAGGAGGTAGTGGCCTTGAAAGCCGATTTTTACCAATGTTTGCATGTTTTGCAGAAGCCATTAGAGAAAGAGAGAACTTGTAAATAGCTAAGGTGTTTAGCACCACAAGATTTACATAAAGCCAATATAGCCGAATGTCAAACTATTCCTTATAGGATTAAAGACTTCTAAATGATAAACGTTTATCCACCTTTCCATTTTGAGCTCAACATTGAATAGATAGAGAGCAACAATTAAAAGCAAAAATATTTAGCATAATGAGATCTACAAATAATTTACATAGTCATAATTGTCAAGTGACTCATAGGAGTTATTACCCTTGAAAGGAGACTCCAATCGTATGTTCAAATATTTGCATCATACCATTTAATGTTAACAGTTGTAACAGATAGGGGTCATTTCCTTTCAGATTTGTCAGTTGCATTGCTGCACGACTTTCCAAGGGCAGTACAACAACATAATAACTGGACATACGGACGATTTTTATGTGTGTGCTTTATGTATACACAAGATGTCGCTCTGTTTGCTTCGACCTTTTTATTAGTATCACTGAGTGTTGATCGACTTGTAGCATTAGCTCGTCCACTATGGACAGGTAGACAGAAGATTTTAACACGATTCTGCATGGTATTAATTCCTTGGATAACAGCAATTTATCTCAGTACACCATTCTTGAAAAGTGGACTTTATCGCTACCGTGGACAAGTATGGTGTACTCCTTTCTTTGCGGGGATGTATGGAAAGGTTTGTACACTTAGTTATGCAACTATTGTATTCAACGTCAAAGTTAAGGTTCAACATTAAGGTTGTGAACTCAAATCCCACACGTGGCAGGTTTGATCAACTCAAATCTTAATTGACAATGATTGTCAGTTTTCAAAATTCTGAACACAAAAACCAAAATTGTGCATAACTGAGATAGAATTATATAGTGTCATTCGAATACATATCAATTAATTTTGTTTAGAGGTGTTATTCGGCGATTTTTCTTATACTTACACACGGAAATCGAATATATATGCAGCGCTGAATTTTCTTTATTCGATTGGCATATGAAAATTTGTAGAAATTGTCGTAGAGTATCATATGCCAGAATATATCTTATTTTTAAAATACTGGTAAGGTTTACAATTTTCAGATTTTGACCATTTCAGTGAAACAAATACATTTAAAATTGAGCTTACATCTTTCTTCGAAAGAAAAATAAGTTTTCAAAACAGCATTTTACACCTCACCTCACATCGTTTTCTTATTTTCACAAGCCGCTTATAAAGTTACATACATGTTGTTTTAGGTATGGCTGCCAATACGATCGGCATTGTTAGTGATAATTCCAGGTGTTGTCATGGTTACCATTTACGGTTACATTGCATATATCATTCGGGTCAGAAAGAAAAATGGTTACATAGCTACAGACAGTGAAGCACCAGGTACATTGTTATAATTATCCTGAATAACAGACCGGTAGAACATCACTCATTAAAAGTTGCTACTCTTTTTGTGGTAGAATTACTCGATCATTCATTATCTAAAAATAATTTTAAGCAATAAAATTAAAACAACACTTTATATATTTCATGCGTCCAAAGCGCTTTTCCTGATTAACCTTCATCAGGAACTCTCAGAGCTGAATATATGAAAGCCAAGAATGTATAGGAACCAAAAAAGTCGAATATTTATATAACCAAAAAGCACCTAAAAAATCCATCTAAGGTCAACTTTGCCTGAGAAATTTGAAACCTTAGTGTCTAACAATTCAAAAATGTATTAACAGACAATTTAGCAAAGTAGGAATTTTTGTGACCATCAATAAGAAATGCGTATCTACGGTTCCTTATTTGTGAAGAAAAGCACTACTTAATCAGAAGATGTAGCCGATCTTTCATAATTGAGCATGAAGAATAGTAATGTAGAGTGTAGAAAAATCTTTCTTTTCATATTATAACATACGGTTATGATTGTGATCAAAGATTTCGAGGCAGATCTTGAGTGATTTTAAGAACTCACATCTAATTGACACCGCCGGTTGAGTAAACCTCATAACAATATGATCAAAAGGAGGATTGTATTTGTATAGGAACGATGGAGAAATAAAACGGATGCAGTTAATTGGTATATAATTAAGATATCTTTATATTTATACAAAAGGTCTTAATGATTTTACGAATGTTAAGAGTAATTTAAGTGCTGACCAACTCACTCACAAATTGAAATAAATAAATTTGGTGTATTTACTGTCTTCTGATTGGTTAAAAGTATTACCTTTATTTTCAATGTTGTCAATTTTTATGGCAACACGCCCACTCTGGCGTTGTGTATTCATACGCTAACATGTGTGTACGTTGTTATTGTTAATATAAATAATATAAAAAGCTCTTTGAGCCTTATTTTTGATAGAGATTCATTTATAATGAATGGCTATTATTTATTTTGAATTTATTGAACCATAAAATTAATTTTTGACTCTTCACATTTTACATAATCCGCTTCGCGATTATTCAATGTGAAGAGTCAAAAATTAATTTTATGATTCATTAAATTCAAAATAAATAATAGCCATTCATTAATCAGATTGCACATTCCTCAGTTTATAGGTGGGTTGTCAAAGTTTACATATTACATTAAACTAGCTTTACTGTGGATTCATTTTTATTCGTTGTATACTAATTTTCGGGGGTTTCGTGGGTACAAGTGAACCACGCATTCAAATGTTCAACGAATTACAATTTTTTCATAGGCTTTGTATGCAGAGATTGCTTAAACCACAAAATCAAATATCCAACAAAATGCAAATTGTTCTCAATACGAAAATTGATACCCACGAAAATAAATGAATCCTCAGTATTTAGTTCTTGAATAAGTCGTTTCAATCATCAGTAAACTCCTTCAAAATAACCTTTAGTTATATGATAACTTTGTAATATTTATTTTAGATGCTTTAAGAACAAATCAGTCTCGAGCATTGGGTAATGCAATGAAAAGAAGTATACTCATAACGTTTGTTGTAGGAATTGGTAGGTATTTAAGTAGTGTCAAATGGATCATTTTTGTACCATCGATTTTGTTTAAACAAAACTTCTATTCCTGACTGTTTGCATAAATTGTCTGGGTAGACCACCGTCATTTTATATCTGACTTGGTACACTTAGTTTTGAATTCCTTAATGTAAGCTTGCACAATAAACGGGTTATTACGCAAAGGAGTGATGCAAGCGACATGTTGTCTATAACGGCATTCATTGCGTTAGAAATTGAAGTCCGTTTTAACTTCATCGCGAATGAGCAGTTCGAATGTTGTAAACAGTGATTTGTTTGTATTTGCCAAAATCGTCAAAATTTCAAAATTAAACATGTTAAAGCAATTCTAAAGATTCAAAATTTAAAACATTTCAACAAAAGTACCAGACATTATAAAAAAATATTTTTTGGTGATCGGATAAAGCCATTTCGTGTAATATTATTTTCGCCTTTCATATTCTATAAGGCGAAAAAGCGAAGTCGAAAAAGAAAAACGTGAAACGGCTTCACTTCTCATTTTGCCTTAGTCGACTTCGCGTTTTTGCCCAATATAATATGAAAGTCGAAAACGCAAAATGACCTTATCCATCTACTTTATATATACCTATGAAAACAGGGGTATATATGTGTAGATTATTCGTTATTCAAACCACTCCATTGACTTAACTGTCCATATTTTTGTTACTTTGTGTCTAGCTATGTTAAAAAATATCCTTAACAATCTAAACATCTAAATTCCTTTTAACATCATAACATAATATATTTTTACATGTTCCTTTTGCAAACTAACTTTCTGTTTATTATGTTGTTATCATGTAACTCAAAACCTGATGGACATGCATTACTTTTACGACAAATGATCTTGAAAGGAAACCAGGAGTTTGTGCTCACGTAAAATGGTATCAGTTACCAAATCAGGTTATTGGGGTCATGTGTTGTATTTCCTTATTTGTAGTCTGAGTTCATGGTTGGTGGTTGATGGTTAGTGATAATTGTGGTCTATTTCGTTCGTTCAATATTGTTTTATTGCACCTGTTATCCTTTTTGTGTTTGTTAAATATATATATTTATGTTCAAATACTCCATGTAAGTCTTATGTTTTTAATTTAACAAATACGAAATATATTTCTTGTATTTCATTTTGTTCATCTCGTACCATTAATAAAAGAGATGTGGAAGATACCAATAGATATAAGAAGATGTGGTATGAGTGCCAATGAGACAACTCTCCATCATAGTCATAATTTGTAAAAGAAAAACCATTATAGGTGAAAGTACGGTCTTCAACACGGAGCCTTGGCTCACACTGAACAGTGAGCTATAAAGGGCCTAAAAAATTACTAGTGTAAAACCATTCAAACTGGAAAACCAACTTTCTAATCTATATTAAAAAACGAGAAACGAGAAACACTTATGAACCACATCAACAAACGACAACTACTGAACATTAGATTCCTGACTTAGGACAGGTGCAAACAAATGCAGCGTGTTTAAACGTTTAAATAGGTACCAACCTTCATCCTTACACGAAACAATAGTGTAACATCCCAACATAGAAAGACACACTATAAAATATCAATTGCAATGGTTTAACTCAGTCAAACGACATATAAACACAAGTGAACATACTCTGCACGTTACGTTCTAAATTGAAGTGGGTGAATTGGTGGTCTGACACCTGTGTGTCTTAATTTGATAGCAACAACCTTATTTTTTCAGCTTTCATCTTATGTTGGCTCCCATCATCACTGGCGACATACACAAACTTGGTATCTGTAAAAAGTCTTGGAGGAGCCTTCTACATAATGACAGCTCTGTCTCCACTAAACAGCTTAATAAACCCAATCATTGTTCTTTCAATAAACCATAGGATGTTTAGACCAAGACGAAAAAACACTTTGTCAACTAAACTCACGTTGACAACGTCATTAAAAAGCCTAGGTCGTACAAGGCGTCCATATGTGAACGCATAATATCAAATTATAAACAGAACACAATGTGTTATTGAGTGTTATAGCACTTTCATATTTTTTTTTTTTTTTTTTTTTTTGTAATTTACTAAAATTGTTATTTATTGTTATATATTGTCAGATTAATATATTTCCTAGCAAACATTGTGGAAGGCCTTAAAATCTGCAATGATATTACTATCTTACTAGAATATGAAATGTTTAAGTATTTTTTTATTAATGATTTTATACATTTATGTTGTTATGTGTCCTGGATGTATACATTTGTTTGAACTTCAAACTAGACTTGTTATGAATGAGTTATTATCTTTAAAAAAGAATCTATAATTATTATTAAAATCATTTGTATTATTCTATATAATATTTAATATCATTACTATAACAAGACATACTCAAGTGGTTCCGATGATTCTTATATTTAGAACTTTAAAACTTGTACAATTAAGTTTAATCACGATTAAAGAAGTTCAAAATATGGCGTAAAAAATTGTTTCATCAAGGTATCTATGCTGAGTTTATTTTAACCGCTTGGGTCGATGCTACAACTGGTGGACTTCTAATTCTTCACAACAAAAACTGTACAGCATTTCCTTACGCAAGGTCTCAGTCATTCAATTTTACACAGCGAAAAGACAAGCAACAGTAACAAAACACTACCTAAAATGAATAAAGTCAACAGTAGTAAACCGCAGACACCTCCCATGAATTTACGAGAGCACGCCAGGACACCACAAACGAAACATAAACTGCGCGCCAAATGCATGGATAAAAAAAAAGTGACGTATATTTTGTGACGTATATATAATCACTGGTAAATTTCTAAAAATGAAATTGATTTGTTTTATTTATAGATACGCACGACAATATTAAATTAGGATTGAGTTTATAATGGTGTTATTTTATGTGTACAAAACTATGTATAAACAAAAAAAAATCATGTGCATATAGTTACTTTAAACTTAAAATCATATAAATAAAGTAGCTCAAAATTATCCACCGGATCTACACGTATAAGAAAGTAACGTATAGTGTGAACATGCACGAGCATAACGTATCAAGATATTGAAATATGTAAACACCATACGACTGAGCAGAGTGTATGTTGCTGCTGAGAAATGGAAAATTGATAATTTTGAAGTTGAAATCATCCCGTATGTCATAGGTTTTAGGTTTTTTGTAAAGACTGTGCAACACGAACTCAGGGTCAACTCAAGTGCCACCTAAGGAACAAGCAGTTTCTACTCCACATGTGGCAATCTTCATGTTAATCAATGAAAGGGGAAAACGGAGATACTGTGGAATCATTTATTTTTGTGTGTACCAATTTTCGTGGATTTCGAAAAAAACTTGCCTTTTCGTGGATTCGTGGATTTCAAGGTTTTGCCCAAGTCTGCATATAACGTGATAGAAATTTGTATTTCGTTGAACATTTGAATTCGTAGTGCAACAATCTGAAGTCGTGTGACACAAATTATTCAAACAAATCATGTCTTCCAGATCGGTCTAACAAGTTTTGATGGCGTTCGTAAAATTTTTAAAAGGATGATTTTAACGTTACCATTTAGAACCATTGATGCAATAGAATCCTTTTAAGTAGTAACTTTATAAAAAGGTAGTCATGATAGTATATGCAAGCCCACACAGTACCTATTACTGGGAAATTTTATCAATGCAACTTTCCACCAAAGTCAAAATGACGTGATTTATATGAATTCCAAAAGATAAAATTCAACACTTAAAATTAGACCACTTTATTGCAATTACTTTTTAATTCAAGTTCTTGTGGTAAACTTATAATATGTACTATACATTTCGTGTTCATCCATTGTATATATACCCTAATTTAAAAAAAAAAAACTTATATATCTGAAATTAAATGTGGATATTGACATAGCTTGCCTAATGAAATAATCAACCTATAAAGATAATGCTACAATCAGGCGCTATGTGTTTAACTGTGACTTAATACGGTGCAAATGTTGTAAAAAACCTCAAGAAAACATAACAAAATAACTTTTACAATCAATGGTGAAGTAATGACATAAGAGTAATAATTCTTCCGGCAATTAAGGTGAAAAAAAACTTCAGTAACCAACCTGATTGAAATTTATTTTTGAACCACAATTAAACATTTTTGCTAATTACGCCTACAAGTACAATTAAGGAAATACATAAGAATGACATAAGATAACATTCCAAACCTCAATCCCGTTCACTTTTCCCAAATGTGACCTACCGAATTAGACTTATAACGTTAACCGGGTTTTGTTATAGCATGAGTAACACAACATGTAAAGCAGGATCTGCTTACCCTTCCAAAGCACCTGAGATAGCCGCCAGGTTTTGGTGGGGTTCGTGCTGCTTAGTTTTCCATGCTGTGTTTTGTGAAAAATTGTTTGTCTACTGGGTTTTATTTTTTTATTTTTTAGCAATGCCTTGTCTGTTTATTTTCGACATATGAGTTTGAATGTGCCTCTGGTATCTTTCGCCCCTCGTTTTCACCAAACCTTACGTTGAAAAGAATCAAACAAGAAATAACCAAGTGTTTTAGTTTTCGGTGTTTTGTGATTTGTTTCGTAAAACCACATATTTCACGTAAAATGAGATAAATACTGATAACAAGAGAAATACTTATAATTAAGATAATATGGCCTATCGTTTATTAAAGCATATTTTAAATAGGTTTAATCCTGCATAACCGTGCTTGTTAATCTCCATTATTCAACATTTTCTCTAAAAGCATCTTACCAAAAAATTACCGTTTTTAATATTAAAAACAATAGTACTTCATAATGTAAATATGAGATAGTACGTTTTGTTTTCTATAAAGATCCAGCTTTAGTTGTATTAACAATAAATAACAATGCGTTTCTTCATTTCCAGTTTTCAACGTTTTACCTCTGAAGTACATGAAATGCGAACCATCATTTTCATCATTTCTTTAATGCAATTTTATCATAATTGAAGGGCAATTTTTTATTCCCTTTATTTTACTCCCAAATGTCAATTTATTCCTTATACTGGTAGCCAACTTCATTGTTTTTTTTTTGGGGGGGGGGAGAGTTATTGGATGGTCGTGACTTGAATTTAAGAGAGCAATAATGTTTTGAGTATTGATATGGTTTTTTTGTTTACTCTATTGTTCAAATCAAAATTAAATTTATTCGGACAATCCACCCTAAACATTTCTGATTACTTGTATAGTTATCAGAAGTTAAAAGTTTAATGAAAACCCATTTATCATACTACTAATTTAAGAATATTTACAAAACTTTCATCTCGGCACAATATCTCATTTAAAAGATGATAGATTTGTTATTGGACTTCATTCGTGGATGAAGGACTGGTATCCTGTAACTGGGATCATATTCCAATCAGACAAGATGATTTTCTAAAAATATCATTTTATTTGGAGAAAAAAATCATTTATCTTCAATTAAAATCAAAATGTTTGATGTATAAGTCTTTGCTATGGGTATTTTATAGACAAGAACATGTCAAAAAGACCTCACACAAAAAATAGCATATTTTCCAGCAAAACTGGATTTCGACAAAAAAAGTCTTAAAATTATTTGTCTTCAACCCTAGCTCTAGATTAAACTTTTGATAAAAGAAATGTTTTATAAAAGCATGTCCTAGATTTATAAGCACCAAAAACTGAATTTTAGCTTAAGAGAAATTCAAATATGTGTAAAATGAGACATCTTTCATGTATGTTCATGATCGCTTAAATCTCTATTTATCTTCTACTTCAAATCATTAAAACACAGTATTGACTGCTGTATCATAACTTTTGACATTTTTACCTATTATGTCTGTTTGTTTTGTTCACACGTCGTTGTCAATATAATGGAATTTGATGCGACTGTCATACAAGTGAGAGGTTTAGCTAGCTATAAAACCACGTTTAATCCACATTTCCTACATAAGAAAATGCCTTTACCAAGTCAGGAATATGACAGTTGTTATCCATTCGTTTGATGTGTTTGAACTTTTGATTTTTCCTTTTGATTAGGGACTTCCCATTTTGAATTTTTCTCGATGTTTGATATTTTTGAGATTTAAATTTTTTCAACCAAAGAAAATGCTGGATTTTGATTGGTTAATACGAGGTATACACTATATCCCATGGCAAAATACTCTATTATCCTTCATTTAGACGTTTGAACAAGTGTGCGTTTTATTAAATGATACGGATGGTTGTTATGTACAAGACTCTATGTTTTTTACTTTGAATTTGAAATTTAATAGACACTTATTACTGAACATTATTCAGTATGATAAATTAAATAACACATAGCGAAGAGGGGGATAGAGCAGTTGACAATGTTTTCTCGGGGTAACCATCTGCTCTATCCCCTCTCAGCTATGTATTATTTATATAATGTTACAATTTTATAAAAAAAAAAATTGGCGTGTTGCTGTAGAAACAAATAAATAGGCTATAGATTGACCACTTTTTGCCAAATTTAAATGATTGAATGACAATTGTCAAAACTGGGCTTATTTCTTATTGACTCTCTCATATAAAACTGCACATTACAAAGAAACTATGTCTTCCAAGTACTAACCTAGCACTGCTTGGCCCAAACAAGACATCTAGCTTACTTAAGAATTAATCAGTGTAATTGAAATATTTCATGGTCTAAAATTGCTTTAGACACCATCATGTTTGTTCGGTGTCAAATTACACACACTTCATACAGTAAAAATGACAATAAATTAAGGGAAAACTGTACAATTTGTATTTAAAAAAGGAATAAAACTGCTAATGCTAACTCTTTCTGTCTTATTAAACAACTTTGCAGCAAATGTATTAAATTCTAAATTAAATACCTACTTAAAAAAAGGAAGATAATGTATTTCTTTAATATAATAACGTTATACAAATGTGGTAAATAAAAGGAAATCTTTATTTGTTTTTGTAAATATTTGTCAAAGAGACCTCCGTGTTGAAGGCCATACTTTGACCTATAATGGTTTGGTTTTACAAATTGTGACTTGAATGGAGAGTTGTCTCATTGGTACTCATACCACATTTCCTTATATATACTCACTTTGCAGATTGTTGTTGCTTAGCTTTTTCATGTGT